GTCCCGACTTTGAAACAGTCGCGAAACCCAACAGTGAGACAGTCACTGTTGCGGTTATGACGTCCTCAGTCCCATCTACAACGTTGTATGATGATGTGAGGCGGGCATACGCCCAAGATGGTGAGATAGTGAAGTTGTTGACACATCTCTCCCAACCATCCCGAGAATCGTTGAAACGATTGTCGCCTGCGTATCGATCTGCATCAGATCGATACACTACTCGCAACGGTTTACTGTATTGTACAGCCGTTTCTGGTGACACACCACGTGTTGTCATTCCAGATGATACTGATCTGCGTTTGCGGATCATGTTCGAGTATCACGATGCTCCTATAGTAGGACATCGTGGCCGAGAGAAAACATATCTCACGGTGAGTCGAGACTTTTACTGGCCCCGCCAGTATCAGTTTGTGCGAAAGTATGTTCACGCATGCGAAGTTTGCCAGCGAGTGAAGTCAAGTCCTTCACTGCGTGCACCTTTACAGCCTCTACCGGTTCCGGCTGAGTGCTGGGAATCCATCTCAATGGATTTCGTCTTCGGGTTACCCAAAGACGCACGCGGGAATACGGGTATTCTCGTATTTGTTGACAGATTCAGCAAAATGGTACACCTTGTGGCTGTACCAGAGACAATCACGGCAAGTGGCTGTGCCTGTGTCTTTATTGACACCATCTTCCGACTTCATGGGTTGCCCCGTGAACTCGTATCAGACAGAGATCCACGATTCACTGCTGATTTCTGGCGTTCCGTGTTCAAATCACTCGGAACGCGCTTGAAGATGTCTACATCTGATCATCCAGAGTCAGATGGTCAGACGGAACGTGCCAACCGTGTCCTTGAAGAGATACTTCGAGGATACGTACACTCCTTTAAGAGTTGGAGTGAGTTTTTGCCAATGGTAGAGTTTGCCATTGACAACTCGGTGCATGCGTCCACGACACATACACCGTTTTACGTGAATGGCTTGCGCCATCCGCGTGTACCCACCTTACTAGAGTGTAACTCTGGTTTAAGGGGGGGGGAGGGACTCGCGCGAGCAAAAACTGATTTGGTTCACGCTCATCACGCTCTGACGAAGAGGTCATTGCGTTTGATGCCGATATCGATAACATCGATATCGAAGAAGATGATACCAGTGAGAGTGCGGAAGCCCTCGCTGAAGAAGATGATGCCAGTGAGAGTGCGGAAGCCCTCACTGAAGAAAAGGTTGATGTTACTGCAGTGCGCTCACAGCGCACTGAAGCTAACGAGTCATCAGATGAGTTCATACTGGCTCGTGAAACGGTAGTCCGTTTTGTGCAAGACTCCATCGCCGAAGCGGTGGATAAGCAAAAGCAAAACGCTGATAAGAATGGAAGGGCAAACACTCTTTTATTTAATAAAGGTGACTTAGTCCTACTGTCTACGGTTAATCTACCAAAGCATGTAATGACTAACTTGGGTAGCAGTAAACTACTACCCAAGTACATCGGCCCATTTCGTGTATTGCACCGCCTAGGTAATGCATACACGATCGAGTTACCACGTAAGATGCGAACGCATCCCACGTTTTACGTTGGTCGGCTTAAGCCGTACCATCAGTACGCTGCTTCTTCCGATGAAGAACGCCCTTGCGCTCAAGCATCTCGCAGAGAGCCTTGCGCTCCCGATGGTGGGCATCAACAAGGGTCTGAAGAGCAGCTATCTCATCCCGAGACCGATCAACAATCCCACGAGCTACCCTTAGCTCATCACGAAGAGATGTCAGAGATCTCTCGTTCTCAAGCTGAGCAAAGGCAAACTCAGCTCGATGCTTCGAGACAGTGTCCCCCATTTGGAGACGCCTGTCCCGCTCATGTTCGAGATCGTTGCGTAACCCTTGCGTTACGCGATCAAAGAAGCTCTCGGGAACACACGGATCCCCATGATCGTGTGGAGAGCGTCTTTCCTCCTCCTCCACCTCCATTAGAGGACTCTCGCGGTGGCCAGCGCTATCTAGTTGAGCAGCTGTTGAACCACCGCGACGTGAACGGACGTCGGACGAGTTATCTCGTCCGGTGGCGCGGCTATCCCCCGTCCTGGGATTCTTGGGAGCCCCGCTCCCAACTGATGATCGACGTACTGGGTCTGGTTGAGCAGTACGACGCGGCACATCCTGTGCCGCAGAAGGACCGCCGGAGAAATTCTTCCCGGCACGGTCGTAAAGGGATTTCAAGTTGTCAATCCCTTCGTACATCTCAGTAGAGATACGTACGCGCCACCAAGGGCTAGTAAGGAGGTAAGCCTCCTTAGGTGCTCGTGCAGAGTTGTTCACACAACATGGGCACGAGTCTCCCCAAGAGAGGCAGGGTAATCCTTTCTCCCTTGACAGACGATGCAGCTTGTAGCGTGCACCTGTCGGGGTTCGCTTTTCAAACTTATCACGAGCTTTGATAAGTTTGTCGTTCCAAGCGTCACGACCTACATCCTCGAGGTTATGGATGTAGGCGTTCCACGCTTGAAGCAGTGAGGGACCATCACGTTTGTGATTCCCACTGTACCATCGATGTTTGAAGAAAGCATCGATGAAGAATTCATGTTCAGCGCGATAGTTTTTCGCGCTGGGGTCAAGGTGATGGATCCTTGACGAATCGAACAACCGTGTTCGATAACGATCACTCGTCGTCGCCGACAAGTGATCCATGACGGATTTTGGAGGCATCCATGCCTTCTTTTCAGGAGCGAGACGCAACACATTGCGGTCCCGCTCTTCCTGCGACGTGCCGACAGAAGTACTGGCACCTCGCTGTGAAGTGGTGTCCATAGGAGAACCGACACCACTGTTAGCGCCCGAGTCTCGCGACCTCGAGCGCCTTCGCTTCGGCGATGGTTCATCTGATGAATCAGATGAACCAAAGATGCTGCGACGCAAAGCATCGTCCATGCCACGCTTGGCAGGCGGCTTGGATTCGATCGCCGTCGATACGGATCCGTCTTCCGTATCAGGAGAGTACGAGACACCGAGCTTGTACTCTGTGAAGACATGAGTGTCTTCATGACCAGCGCCTGCATCACCAAGTGACACAGGCTGGGTCGCTTCAGCAACCGATGAGACGTCAGTTGCTGTGGTTTCTGCTTCGGCGTCCTCACAGAGACGTGCGGACGCGCTCTCGGCGGCCTTACTCGCGCACCGCATGGGCTTGTTAACCATGCGATGAAATGTTGGGAAGAGGACTCGGACCAACAAGTGCAAACCCTGTCCCAAATGATTTGGGACGAGTATCCATCTAGTCAATCAGTCACTAAAGTGACTGATGGTTAAGGGGGGGGGTGATGTAACGGGGTGAATCGTTACATAACAATTTATAAGAAATTGTTAATAGAATATAACTACAAGAGTTATATTTTCAGAATATTGTCATAAGGACAAATATTTTGTAGCACTTGCGAGTAGTTCCTAATTGGTTGATATAGGCCATTACATCAACCAACGAAGACGCGCCACGATAGACGCACGCAATGAGTGGTGAGCAGATAGTTGATTTACACATTTGTATTTAGACATAGTTAGATGAAGATAAATAGTGATTTATTGCAGACATTAACTATACTAAATACAGTTCTACTTTTTACTTTAACCAAGTACTCGCTTCTTCTTACCGTCTTCCTCTGCACGTACGAGTGTACGTGAGGTTACGAGGCACCGCCTTATTCTGTCATCAGAATAAGTAGCTTGTACTGTCACCAGTACAAGCTTCAGGGTGCCCCGTTACATGCTGTTAGTGTAAGTTAGTCCGTTTCCGTTCCTTGTCTGACCAACCAGGGATTAAAATGCTCAGTATATTATATTTATTGACCAATCAAAGCATCGCAAGTGTGAGGGGGTGGATATTTCGCGAGGGGGTAGCTTCTTAACGCCTCCCTATTTTATCAAGATAAAATACATTTTGCCGCTCAGGCCGCTCGTAGAAACTCAGTGTGCGAAGAGTTGTAACTGTACAAATATCAAGACATACTAGATGCAACTTGTAATTCACAAAGGCTATTGACGTGAGTGGTATTGCAGCTGTTAGATGTTGGTAGCTCTTGCACTTGTGCAAAGGATGTAGGAAGTAAAAGTGAAATATATTGGGTGCTAACTATTCTCCCTAGTCAACCCTATTTGTATGTATTTGCACCAGCACTGCAACTTGACCTGGTCAAGTTGTACTTTGGCATACGTCCAGCGTGCCCATCCCATGTGCTGGTCCTGGTCCCATATGACGTCTGTATGTCTCTGTCTCTCCTACCATCTGTCTTTGATAGTCCGACATGACGATCGTCTTCTCGCGTCCCATATGTCAACCTGTCTCGTCCCACCGTCAACTTGTCGACCAATCAGGTGAGGTCGACCTAAACCTGTAACAGGTCTTGCAGTTGCCTCTACACCGACGTAACCTGTTAAAAGCTATATCTTTAAACACTCCTCCTCGACTTCAGCCTGAATCGTCCTCAAGTTGAACATCTTGCGTAGCTCCTCCATTCTCGGCGCTGGCAAGGACTTCGTCAGAATGTCCGCCATCATGCTCTCAGTCTTGACGTACTTGGGCACCACAGTTCCTTCACGCGCGTAGTGGCAGATGAATTTAAACCTGATGTCCACGTGCTTCGCGCTCGTTGTGCTCTTCTCTCCCTCGAGTTGCTTGATCGCCGCTTGATTATCCATCCACATAGGCATCGGCATGCATACCTGCAGCTTTAGCTCCAGCAGTAGTTCCCTCACACACAGCAGTTCGCGTCCTGCCTGGGATGAGGATATGAACTCCGCCTCCATAGTGCTCAGCGACACACCTGACTGCTTCTTGCACGACCATAAAACAACAGAACCGTCCAAAGTTAGTACGTATCCAGACACTGACTTACGGTCCGCCTTGTCCGCGGCAAAGTCTGCATCGCTCCAGCACTCAATCTTGACATTTTGTTGAGTCGGTCCGTTGCCGTTCAGGTGCAACCTCAAGTTCTTTGTCGCCTCTAAGTATCTTGCAATGCGTTTCGCAATCTTTCAGTCCTTGGTGGTTGGCTTGTGTGTTTGACGAGTTGCCTTATGCACTGCAAAACATATGTCGGGCCGCGTGCATCTTGCGATCCATAGCAGACTCCCGACCAAGGATTGAAAGGCACTCAAACTTGGCTCACCGCTTGCACCTCTCGCGGGTAGATAGTCCACATTATCCTTGTTATCATCATTGCATTCATCTCCGATTGGCGTTCGCACACCGTTCGCTGACCCCAACTTGAAATCCCTGAGCAACACGTCGATCATGACCTCTTGGTCCAGAATGTATCCTTGAGTGTCATCCAAAGAGATCCTGAGTCCCAGAAACTTCTGAACGACGCCGAGATCCTTGATCGACAGTGTCTCCATGCCCGCAAAGAACTCATCAACCGCGCACTGCTTGGTTCCCGTGACCAGAAGATCGTCCACGTATGCTCCGACGATGGTCCATTCTTGACCTTGGTGCTTGTAGTATTGACACATGTCCTTCGTGCACTGCTTGTAGCCATTCTCGGTCAGCTTGGAGTGTAAGAGCTTGCTCCAGAGTCGTCCCGCTTGCTTTAGTCCGTACAACGATTTCTTCAACAGCAGCGCGACCTCACCAGAAGATTCCACACCGAAACCTTGAAGTTCCTCCTTAGTGATTTGCATGCCTTTTGGAACCTTCATGAAGATATCTAGATGCTCCTCCTTTTCTGCCTTAACGTAGGCGTAAGGAACATCCCCATGACGTGCGGGAACGTTCCATCGCTTGGAGAGCACCAGGATTAGCTTGACGGTCACTAAGTCCATGACGGCCGCAAACGTGAGGTTGTAGTCGATGCCGAAGACTTGGTCGTTTCCGCAAACCACTAGTCGGGCCTTGCATCGCTCGATATTTCCGTTCGCGTCGGTCTTTGTTTTGTAGACCCACTTGTTGTGCAACACGTGTGCATTTCTTGGTGGCACTACGATCTTCCAGACGTCGTTCGCCTCGAGTGCGTCCAATTCTTCGGTCATGGCTACCTGCCATTGGTCGCGTTGTCCACTCTTCATTGCCTCACCATAGTGCTTCGGGTCTTGCTCGACGATCGCGTTCACGATGTCGCAACCGTCCACCGAGGTGTCCACTTCAATTACCTTTGGTTGAATTGACGTTGTCGATCTTGTCCCATGTCGCTCTCTGGTCCATGTCGACTTTCGACCTTTTCTGACCTGCTTCGCACGTTTCACACCATCTTGCCGATCTTTTTCATCCACCTGATCATCAGGGCCTGGCTCCTCCTGACGTCGTGCCGTGTCTGGACAGGTCTTTCTCTCATCCTGGTCATCCTGTGGTGCTTCAATGTTTTGAACATGTTAAGTCACCACGACCACCTTATCCACTGGAATCTACACCTTGTATCCCTTCGTTTCGCTGCCTCGCCCAATGATCATGCCCGCCTTTCGTCGCTCCCAAGTGACGTGTTGTTCAGGTCTCTATGCGCAGTTCATGTTGACCCAAAGGCCACAATGTCTGTCAGCACGGGAGCCTTGCCTGTCAGGATCTCCAAGGGCGATGCACATCCGGGGTTGGACTTGGTTTTGCTTTGATTCAGTATGTACGAGGCGTACTCTGCAGCATCACCTCAAAAAGACAGCGGCAGGTTGAATGCAAATATCATACTCCGCACCATGTTTATGATGGTGCGGTGCATCCGTTCAGCCTTGCCGTTGCTCGCTTGGTTTCTCGCTTCACTCACTTGACGCAAGACGCCTTTCGAAGAGCAGAAAATATCGAGTGTCTTGTATTCACCACCACCGTCGGTACGTAAGATGTGAATCTTGCAGTTGAATTCACGCTCAAAGTTTGCCATGGAGAGCTTGAACTTCAATGCGGCTGCATCTTTGGACTTGGCCAAAAACACTCGACAGTAGCTTGATCGATGATCGATAAAGTTAACCGTGTATCGATTTCCCAAACGGTCTCGGGGGGGGTCATGGGACCCTTAAGGTCAGAACAAATGAATCCCCCGATCGCGTCGATTGGCGAATTCGCGCCTGTATCTCTCTTCGACTGGGCTCCCTTGGTCTGTTTTCCCTGGGCACAGGCCAGACTCTTCTGACGTGTCGAATCAGTCAGTCGGATGCATGATGCCGGATCGTTCGCCATCTTGACGATCGTGTCAAAGCAAAGGTGTCCTAGATGCCGATGAAAGTTAATCAAGGTACCGCACTGAACATCCGAATCGGATTCATATTCAGGTGGGTTGACGACAGTCATCAGTGCCTCTTGTGGTGGCTTTGAATTACGATCACTGTGATTTGTCACCGCGACAACCAACACGTTGTTGCAACTTTCCACGTCCATGATGGGAGTACCACCCACACCGGAGGACAACACGCGCCTCCTTCCTCGATATTCGAGAACGCAACCCTTGCCTCGAGCAATCCATAGGAAAGGATATTTCCCTCGAGGTTTTCCGCGTAGTGAACATTGAGGAGTCTCACTGTGTTGACGACTCCAAGTGCGACGACCTGGATGTCCACAGTACCTTGAAGGGTGATCCGCAGCGCACTTCCATCAGTGGCTGCAGTCATGCACTCACTGCGACAATCAATCGGATCAGTCAGCAGACTCGGGTCATTGACCAAATGTCTACTCGAACCGCTGTCGAGAATCCATTGTCCGGGCGAGCGACTCGCACCGCGACCAACCGCGAAAACGTAGTTTGCACCCGAGGGCTTCTTCTTCATTTTGGGGCACCTCGAACGAATTTGACCCACTTCTCCGCATTTGAAACAAGTCCGGGTGTCGGTGCGAGGTAGCGACGGTCTTGATTTGTGTTTTTCCTTGAACTCCTGCGCAACCTCGACAGTGTTCACCACATCGCGTCCAAAACTCTTCGAGTGAGTGTCCAACTCCGTCGATTGGGCAAATTGCGCCAACTCTTCTGCTTGCCGCAGGTAATCGGTGCGATGAAAGTCCAATCTGGACAACATCGTCGTTCGCATGTGTGGGTCAGCATAATGGACGATGTTGTCCAGCACAAGATTGTCTGCACCTCCACAGGCGTCACTGACGGCCGTCAAGTACAGAAAATGGTCTGTCCATTTTCGATGGGATGCCTTGGGTGCTGTGAACAACTTCAAGCTTTGTGCTGGCGAGATCTTCGTCGTGGAGGACTGCAGTAGTCTCTGCATCGCATGTACCAGGGTTTGGTTTTCAAACCACCACGTTTCCACTTGACGACGATAGTAGGTCTGTGCCTTGCCGGCTAGGTGCTGACCTAGAACATCAACCTTGATGTCCTCTGGCCACACGAAACCACACGCTCGCTCAGCAAACCCGACTTGTCTGACAAATTCTTTGCCCCACTCCATGAATCCACAGCCAAGGCCGTGGTAGAGCTCCTTTCCGTCGAAAGGTTGCAATGCCAGCTTCCGCTGTTGCGCGTCCGGCATGCCGACTCCCGGCTGCCCAGGGTAAACACACACACCGTTAGGCATACCCATACCGGGGTAGCGTCCTTCAGGCAAATCTGCCCGGTATATCCCAGGGACGGGTGCCTGACCCATGTTGACTCCTTCCTCTGCTTTTCTCGCGTGAGGACCTTCAACACCTGCCTGTTGTTGTCGCCGAATACCGAAATAGGTTGCTGGTGACACGTTTGGGGATTCCTTAGTAGGGGTACGGTTTAAAGTCTGGAGATTAATCCCTGCTCCGACCTCCTGTTGCCGACTGGCGATACTCGACTCGGGTGAGCCCTGCCAGTTCTTGCCGCCTTGCTCTCTCTGGGAGACCTCCATCCGGTTCATCCTTTCGGACAGGTCCCCGAGCATGGCCAGCATTTTCTCAATCGCCTCCGCAGGCGCTGCTGACTTTTCTTCCAGGTGGCCTTAACATTGTCATCGACCACTGCGATAGGTGCCGCTGGTTTAGCCGCACCATCAACACGTGTGTTTGAGCTCATAACCTGTTAGATGTTGGTAGCTCTTGCACTTGTGCAAAGGATGTAGGAAGTAAAAGTGAAATATATTGGGTGCTAACTATTCTCCCTAGTCAACCCTATTTGTATGTATTTGCACCAGCACTGCAACTTGACCTAGTCAAGTTGTACTTTGGCATACGTCCAGCGTGCCCATCCCATGTGCTGGTCCTGGTCCCATATGACGTCCGTATGTCTTCGTCTCGCCTAACATCTGTCTTTGATAGTCCGACATGACGATCGTCTTCTCGCGTCCCATATGTCAACCTGTCTCGTCCCACCGTCAACTTGTCGACCAATCAGGTGAGGTCGACCTAAACCTGTAACAGGTCTTGCAGTTGCCTCTACACCGACGTAACCTGTTAAAAGCTATATCTTCTAACAGCAGCCACTCTATTCGACGACTTACCATTCGTCATCATTGTAGTCAGGTGCTTATTGTGTCAAGGACAATTTGAGGCGCATTTACATGGGCCGCTTCCCCCTCAAGCAACAGCTCGTTCAGGAGTATAATTGTTCCCCTTTCTTTGATTGTATGTTATGTACTAATTTTGTGTGGTAAAAATTGCAATTTCTGTAACTAGGGACCGGTCGGGGTGTACGATAAGAAATAAGGAGAATAAAATAGCTCCCGATAGTTGGAAAATAAAGATGATTCAAATAATGAGAAAATAATAGAAATAGCCCACATTCTCGAATACCTAAATTAACGTGGTACATATTTAAATCCACATCATTATGCCATTTCTCGATTTCTTTCTATGGCCGTGCTGGACCCTCCACCCTGCAGGCAGTGCCGTGTAGGGTTTTTTGGAGCGGGCGTGCTGCGCTCGCAGCCAAATGTTGCGGGGGCAGACGGTACAGGTAATATGTAAACGCGTCTACGTACCTTCGGCCGCGGCTGTAAATGCAGACAATCGGTACTGACGTTGTTCTAATTTACGGTGTTGTTTTTATTATTGTCTTGGTATTGTTAGCATTGTTTTAAAGTGATGGTTAATCATTCTTGTTTTTTTAGTTGCTGCTGTTTATCTTTTGTGTCTTTATTGCTAGTGTCTTTGTTGCTGCTACCGCTGTGGCGTATCCGTTATTTTTACTACTGTACGCAATCATGTGTTCCCCTCGCTTTTGATAGCGCTGCTGCTAAAGATAGTGTTTGTGCTGCTGACTTCATTGTTCCTGCTACTGCTGTTAGTGTTAGTGGCGTTACTACAGCTTGTGGTGTTGATTGTACTACTGTGGTTGAGTAGATTGTCAAACCTGCATGTGGAGTCCACAAAACACTCACTGCGCCAAAATTCCGCCTTAAAAAGGGGGGACGCCCGATTCTGCGTATGGACCTTGACTTACGTTGTGCACTCGTTGGCTGGCGATTTGCATTCTTCGATCGACTAGGACGAAGAGGACGATGTTACGGTCTTGATAAAAGTAGAGATGGGCCCCAAGTAAATAATGCTTCACAAGGTAGGCCTGTAGATGGCCACTTGATCGACCCAGTCGAGAGTGGACTTAAAACCAAGCTCTACAGGGAGCTTGTCGCTATTGGCATTTGTTGTGCTCTCTGACCGTAGGGTAGGGAGGCCGCTTCCGAAAGCGGGCCTTGAGTGGGTGTTGCTGCTCGACGAACCCACAATTCAAATGTTTACTGAGGTCTATCTGCACTAAAACCTTATCGTGCAGTTGTCTTTGACGGGGGCCAAAAATATCCCTTCCCCGAAATAGGCGGGTAAATTTACTAAATTCTTTAACTTCGACGAAGTCGTGCCACGTGATTTGAAAATTGAGTAGTATTGACAACCTTCCTATCCTTTAACTTCTTTACTCTATCCTGCCCTTTGTGCTCTGTCTCTTTTTGTGACTGGTCAGCAGCAGCCAATTCTTAAGAGACCGGGTCTACCGATGAGGGATCAGGTATATTAATGAAGGGCCAGATCCTCCAGTGAGGGACCAGGTCTACTGATGAGGGTCCAGGGTCTACCGATGAGGGGCCAAGACATACCATCGAGGGACCCAGTAAAACTTATAAGGGGCAAGATACTCTAGAGAGAGAGACCAAAAACTACTCTTAGGGACTGCGATCTACCCTTGAGGACCAGATCCATCAATGAGAGCTTGTGTTCACCTTCTACTAGAACCGCTTCACCAGTACTCAAGCAACGGTCTTCTCCTTGATCAGTGCAGCGGGTTCCTCTTCCCAAAAGGTCTGAATACTTTCAAGACTACTTTTCCCAGGCACCCTTTTCTTATAAGTGTATCCTTGTCTCTTCGTCCTGATACTTCCTGGGTCTATTATCATCTTTAATGAGCGCACTGTACCCTGCTACAGTGCTGATGTTGTAGTTGTTTAGTTGAGTGATACGAATACAATTTCTGCTTGTACGATATAGTTACTTGAGCTTAGCTAAATATTTGATAGACTATCACAAATCTTTTCTACGTGTTTGACTTTAATTAAACAATTAAAAAAATTACCAGTGTTGATGGCAACATTTTATTGCTGTTACAGGGATTAGTCGGTGCCGCTAATGTTTGTAGCCTTAAGGACAACACGCTGGACGTGGATAGCTCAGGAGGCAATGACAACACACAAGATATTCGATTTGGTCGAAGTGTTAAACACTCCGACATACATGTCATAATATAAAGAATTGTACACGATTTGTATTAAAACGTACAATACGGACTGTAACTAGATTTGGTCGGACTGTATCCGCCAGCACTTGGTTTGCGACTCTCTAACAGTAAACTTTGGTGCCACAACACCTGTTGCCTTATTCGATGTGCTAAAAAAACCTTTCCTATGCTTTAAACGAACGTAGAAAGTTATTAATGGCGATTCTATAAATGTAGGACCTACGCACTCACTGATTCGACCTAATTTTTCTTTACGGCACTCAGTTTGCTCCTTTGTGCACGTTGCAAATATGCATTGACAATATGTAGCATTGATACGCGAGCACGTCATATGTCCACTCTGTCGCGGTGAACATCCGCGTGACCGTATTCAAGGCATAAAAAGTCATACGTATCAGAAACGGGGCACACCTTATTCCGCTAACCGAATGAACCTTGCGCTGCCTGCAGTGCGAGAGTGTGTACGTCCGACTACATCACGTACACGTTCGTGCAGAGAAGGATTGCTATACGGAGTAGGAGTACTCAGTAAAGGTAAAAAGTGGAGCTGTGTTTAGTGTAGTTAATTTTTTATAATAAATACCTATTTGACTTCATTTAACTATGTTTGAATACAAACATGTACTGTAACTATCTGTGCACCACTAATTGCATGCTTTTGTCGCGGCTAGAATTTGTTGGTTGATACCTCGATCCTGTATAAACCAATGAGCAGTGTGTTGCGTCTAAGAAGCAGTAATTTCTACCTGGAAGATATTGGGCGAACAATGTGTTTTTCCTAACATTAAATTCATGCTTGATAATTACATTATGTAAATTATCACGTAACGGAGGCACCCCTTGACAGAATCAGCACAAATCGTTTGAAAAGTACTTAAATTAGCTTAATCATTGATCTGAGCACTGGTACATGTGTACCACAATATCAAGAGTGTCGGGGAGAGGGATTATTAAAAACAAGCAACTCGCATAAATACAAGTGGATAGCCGCAAAATTAGTGCATAGCCTACACGATTGTAAACCACCTGCAAATATGTGATTCGTGCATACAAGTCTCTTTACACCTACAATATAGCAGCCGCTTAGCGATTTCTGGACATCCCTACTCCAACGTACCTTCCTAAGAAACTCATCCCGTAAAACACTGAATGAGTGGCATTTCTTGGTGTCCCTCGATCTCCTTTTAGCAGGAGCTTATGTAAACTTAGAGCTGGCAAAAGATGCTGCCACGCGTAAGCATGGGAAAATGGATCTGGGGTCGCTGTACCAAGGTCGGCTAAATTGGGTCACCCTCCAGCTATGAGGAAAGTATGGATGCGCTGTGCGCAGGGAGGAATTTATTGCACTCGACCACCTGAAGAACCAGTACTCCGACAAAAGGCAACAACAAGAGTGGGTTTTCCTTATGTAATATCCTTAGTTGTACGAACAAAAATTGGACCATGTACACTGTCCATGATATCCAGGATAGTCGTCCATGCTTAAAAATAAACGAGGAAATGGGAGCATTACCTTCCAACTGCCGGTTGCATATAACGGTATCCGATATGGATCAAATCTCAAAACTTCACGATGTTAGTGCATCTCGGTCTACAATTCAAGAGTCCCTGATTAAAAAATCCCGAAAACCAGGGTCGACGTGGACAAAATCATCGCAAAGGAGCAGCAGAAACAGAGACTCGGTATGACCACACTGGAAACTCCAACGGAGAAGTTGAAGTATGAACTAGTTGTTTCAACTGTCAAACAAGACGTTCACAACCGAGCTACGCAAATGTTCTTTCAGCCGAATCCAATGATAGAGCTCACACGGTGATGGTGTAATGGGCATAATGGGATGCGGATTATGAGAAGGTACCCTTTTGCTTTAGAGACACTGAACAGACAATTTCATCTGCCACTTTCCGACACTGCTACCTCAAGCTCTGCGGCAGACTAGGCAACCAACTCCGATCTAGTATACATTCAAAAGCGTAAAAATGGAGATCGTAAATATTGCATACGTGCATTGTGCTTTTACCTGTGTTCTCATGGATGTAGTCTTCGTCTTCTTCAACGTTTAAATTTACCTTAGATGTTAAAGAATGAATCAAGCGTAAAAGTGAGAGTAGCTGTATCTCGCTTGCGCTATTTTATTTTAATGCAATCTAGATTATTATACAATCGTGCGGCAATTTAATTACTACATAAAGGCGGGTAGGGACACTAGCAACGGCTTTCCCTTTAAAGTAGATGTCGTGTTATAGCCTAATTTTGTAATATCTACCACTCCTGGAAAGTAGAATCGATCGCCCCTCCCCCAATAAACTCAGGGTTAAATTTGGCTGAAATACATGGCCGGGTGAACGCACTCGCGACTTACAGGCTGCTCCATATTTACGCTTTACTTTAACACAACGTAGGTGTCACGAGAAAAAAAGGATAAACACAAGTGCTGGTTTGTCCCGTTTGTTTCAAAAATATAGGCTTCATCGATTTCTGGTGCTCATTTTTCGTGCTTTTCCGTTTTTTCCAATTTTTCAAAAGCGCCAACTCTAAGCTGCATATTATCTTTAAGTAAAATGTTTAGTAAACTCTTTTACGATTATAAAATCAGTTATATTGAACTAGCTACTGCCACAAAATATTCTCCATACCTACTGCATCGCCCTCTTCGGTTCAATCTTGATTCTCGACTGCCGGATCACCCCTTGATTTTCTTCCTTGTGCATTGGACACTGGCAGTGGAACTACAGTTCTCCTTATCCTTGACCGGTGTAGTCTACAGTAAATTCCTCGCCCTTCTGTATGTAATTTAATGACATCAGCATTACCACAACGTGACGCCTTCCTTGCACCTCCTAGAATACTGCATTCGAAACGACAGGCATTAGCCACAAATCTAGCTTTTGAGCCGCACTTTTCGGCGCTCACGAACACTCTTCGACCAATGGTATCTCTCGTCTGCAGTTCAATCGTACAATTAAAATCGTTCGCAACAACATGCTCATATACAACGTTCTGATGATAATACAAACATACCGGTCGGGATTAGTCTCAGCGCATACACGCAAATACCTGTTCGAGTCAATTCAGTTGTAACTTTTTCTGCCAAAATCTCTTATCACACCTCTCGACTCCTGGGGCACACGTACCATCTTCGCATATCTGTGCCTGGACGGCATTTGATAATATACCAGCGTGCAATGTCTACCGCACCCACATTCCTTTTTGCGTGCGTCCCCAAGATCAAAAGCTACCTTATTGGGGTTTAGCAATCGCGAAATTTGTTGAATGGCTGTGGACCAGTCGACACGCTCATTCACTTGACAGTTTTGCATCATACATTGCCGTGTACCGGGTTCCGGGAACTCCTCGTCGCTGCTGCTTATAGTAATGCAGACATCCTTCATCAGATATTCTTCATTGCTGCTTCCTTGCGCCGATCCATTAATATTTATCCTGGTCGCGTTCTTCTCCCACTTGCCGTCTGCCACGCTACACCCTGGTCGGGTGGTTTTAATAGTGGGTCTTTCTCTTGATCGTTCGCCTTATCCAACCAAGACGGTCTGGATCATGTCGAGCTCGTGCTCGATGCTCCTGTCTGGTAACGAAGCTTTATAGATCGGGCACTGGGTTCTCTCCGCGTTCCACATTCAAAAAAATCTTCCACTGTGTAACGGGGTGAATCGTTACATAACAATTTATAAGAAATTGTTAAAAGAATATAACTATAAGAGTTATATTCTCAGAATATTGTCATAAGGACAAATATTCTGTAGCACTTACGAGTAGTTCCTAATTGGTTGATATAGGCCATTACATCAACCAACGAAGACGCGCCACGATAGACGCACGCAATGAGTGGTGAGCAGATAATTGATTTACACATTTGTAAATTTAGACATAGTAAGATGAAGATAAATAGTGATTTATTGCAGACACTAACTATTATAAATACAGTTCTACTTTTTACTTAAACTAAGTACTCGCTTCTTCTTACCGTCTTCCTCTGCACGTACGAGTGTACGTGAAGTTCCGAGGCACCGCCTTATTCTGTCATCAGAATAAGTAGCTTGTACTGTCACCAGTACAAGCTTCAGGGTGCCCCGTTACAAGTACTCGCTTCTTCTTACCGTCTTCCTCTGCACGTACGAGTGTACGTGAAGTTACGAGGCACCGCCTTATTCTGTCATCAGAATAAGTAGCTTGTACTGTCACCAGTACAAGCTCCAGGGTGCCCCGTTACATGGGTGGAATTTGTTCGATCAGCAGTGGCCACTCCTTCGGCGTCCATGTCTTCCAGTCTTGCTGAGGGTCCGATTTGCAGGCTTCTTATCCACTGAAGCATCACTGTTCATATTTTCAGCTGCCTTCTTCTTTGTACAGAAGCTCACTCTGGCAAAATTGCTGTTATGCTTGTCGCTGGCTGCAACTCTTCACGCTCGTACTGGCATACTTCGCTCGGCTACTGCTCCAATTTCTATTTAGTACAGTTTTTATAGCTTTCTAATCGTCTATTTATTTCTATTTGAGCCAAACACCTTTTCTATATCACGTTTGTGTGGCCGTTCTCACGCCTGTAGGCTATCCACTTTTTCAGGCGAGTTGCATTTTTTTTGGATCCACCATTCGACGGTGTGGGGTATTTTTCAAACTATCTAGGGCACTTTTTATTTTCGTGATCAAATGAGGTATTTTTGTTTTTATAAAAGTTTATAAAATTGTTGCGCTCGCAGAAACACCTTTTTGGGGTGTGGAAGGGGCTTATTCTTCGCTCTCATAATTTTGCATTTCTCGACATTAATATTGCTGCAGGGTTAACCAAGACATGTCGATAATTTGAACTGATAATTTGATTTGCCCGTCCCTCATGGCTTGTAATTTATAATTATCTGATACGCTCCTTTAGGATGTCGGCCGAAGCCCGTCATCAATCAAGAGCCGCCTCGGATTTAACTACCATCATACAATTTACACATTAGATTGTCACCATGAAGTGGACATCTGCGTCATGCAAAAGGCGCTGGTCCTTGTACGTAAACTGTTTTTGTTGTAGTGGTTTTGCATCGAGGTGCTGAAACGGACACGACAGACGGAATACAGTGTCAAGTCCTCGATTTACTGGCATGAGACAGGATTCGGTACATGATACATAAGAACATCTTCACGCCGCGATGAACAGAAAAGAATCGGCCAGCTGTACAATTTGCACAGTGTGTCACTTTCCTTCATTTGACATTCTCGTGACTAGCAATTTACCTACGACATCATTTGTCGCAGGCCTAGACTTGTTTTTGAGCGCACACGGTCCATCAAGCCTATTGTTTACACGCACATGTAGAGAACAGCAAGCCAAGGACATAACAGCGCTGGCTAGACAATGAATCTTAAATCGAGCATTGGCATCCATGAAATAAGAGGTCACAGATCTGGCTTTGCCGTGAAAAGTTTGGCCTGCATCAGTCAGTGAATGTTGCCGTGGGAAAGTCGATGGGTGACAATCGCAATGTACACCTCTTGCTTGCAATACGCTATCCTTTATCTGTCGTTTTGCTATCGTGCATTCTACCGATCTCGAGGGGCATTCGAACCGTTTATTGCACATTACCTATCGCCTCGAAGTGCGCATTTTTTTCTTGAATGCTCGTGACACGATAGTATCCACAAACAAATATCATAAAGTGTATTTGATTGACTATTGCGTGTTGAGGAACTCCTCATCTACACGGTACAGGAGTTTTAGCATCTGTCGTAAGCTGCATTACCGTTGGATCAGATCAATTGAAGACCACGCTACGTCACCATGCAGACAAGAAATGGATCGACCCTTTGTACATAGAAAAAACGTCACAATGCACAGACTATCAGGGGCTGCGCATGTGAGCGGCCGTGGTACGTAGCATGAATTTGGGGTAGATGACGTTCGGCACTTTTGGATACAGGGTCTTATTACTGCGACCTGATCTACCATCTATCATCAGTCAGCGTAGGAGAACTCTCGCGTCTAAAACTTCGAACTGCGCCAATTCACTTGATGCAACGATCAAAATGTAACGTCCATAAATTGAGGCGAGACACCCAAATGAGAAGTTCTCGCGACAATATAAGCTCTCTTGTATCTGACAAGTGACATTAGTCTAGTGCGTTGTTCGTGTTGTTGAAGTAAACAACCTAAGGGCGTATCCAATCCAATCCGTAATTTGCAGAACGATATCCATCGACGGCATGAGAATGGGACACCATATAGAGTTCTGCACGGGTGGAATTTGCGTTAAAATGATTCGCGATATCAGGAAAAAGTTATTAAATGGAAGTGAGGAATCGCAAAGGCAGCATGTGCATGTGGAGAATGTCGTAGCAAACTGACTGCAACCTTTAGCAACAGCCCTTCTTCACGGGTGCTGGTTTTGCGCTGAGGTTGACGTTTTCCTTCTTATGCGGTCCCCCTTCCTCCATGAGCCTGTTCTTTACTTCGCGTGCAATCTCAATGAAGCCGCCTTCGACATTAATATTGTTCTTCGCACTCGTTTCGAAAAACTTGACACCGTATTCGTCCGCTAATGCCTGACCCTCTTCCGTGCTAACGATCTTGTCGTCCATCATATCGCACTTATTGCCAATGAGGATTTTGTTCACGTGCACGTCGGCATGCTGCTGAATCTGTCCTACCCAGTTTCGGATACTCTGGAAAGATGCACGATCTGTCACGTCGTAGACCAACAAGATACCCTGCGCACCACGAAAGTACGACGTCGTAATGGTGCGAAAGCGCTCCTGGCCAGCAGTGTCCCAGATCTGCAACTTGACTTTCTTACTGTCCACCTCAATGTTCTTGATCTTGAAGTCAATGCCAATTGTCGTGATAAACGTCGGGGAGAACGAGTCGTTCGCATATCGCAGCAGCAAACACGTTTTGCCCACACCTGAGACCCACCACTTCCGTCAGTACTGGACGTCACACTCGATCTAGAGCTACACCCAGAACTAGCATTGCGTAGCTCTCTAAACAAGCAGCACGCACCACTATCTCCAATCATCAGCAGCTTGATCTGCATGTCAAAAGTGGTATCATGACGCGCCATTGTCAGCAGCTACAAATCTGTCAACACAACAAACATAGACATGAGTTTTCAACAGTCGCTGGTTCAAAATCCCTAACTGATCTCCTCGTGCCATTTTGATACTAATTGCATCTTCCAAGTACCCACTATTACAACACTAAAATGCGTCCAAATAAGACGCAAAAAGAAGGAAAAATAGCATCGAGTCATCGGCAGGGACTACAATATGTATCCATGTTGAAATCGGGGACAATGGAAGGAGGCAGTGCTGCTGTACCTGTTCACACACAGAGAGAGCGAGAAAGAGAGAGGTCGTCGTATACTCTTTCTAGTGCAGAATGGGCAGGCTGGGCGACAGCTCGGCGCTCGTCGGTTCGTCAGTTATCTTTGATTTCGTCTCCCCCTACACGGCCGACGTAACGTAAGAAAAAGGGCTCGAAGTCGGTATGGAGCATTCAGTTGTGTACGGAACACAATCTGAGGCACGCACGTCTGTAAGAACAAAGCGACACAAAAGAATGTTTAAAACCAAACAAACGCGTGCGACACACGAAAAAAAACGGAACGCTTGCTCGCTCGTGGTACCAATTCTTTCGATCCAGCCATGACGCTTAGTCGTACGTCGTTTATTTGTTTGTTTGCGGTAGACAGGACGGCAGACCTCATCAATTGCGTACCCATGGGCTTAATAACGGATACTTTTACACTGCATTGATCTGACCAAAATGAGTATGCGGCTGTAATGGTGGTTGATTACAGCAAAGGATACCATTACGAAGCCAAGTATCAACGAGTTCAAGCAAGGCAAAACGCTGGGCGAAGGCAACTTCTCGCGCATTGTTGAGGTCCAGCATAAAGTAACGGGTGAAACTTTTGCACTGAAAATCATTGACAAGCAGCGCATTAAGCGGCTGCGGGTTCGTCATCCGAACGTTTTCAATGAGATCAACATGGAAAAAGATGCACTCAATCGATTGCGTCATCCGAACATCATCCGCCTGTATCAGACGTTCCAAGACGAGTCGAATTTGTATTTCTTATTGGAGCTGCTGAATGGTGGAGAGCTGCTCAATCAATTGATACACGAAGGTCGGCAATTGGGTCTCACGGAAGACCTTGCTCGGTTCTATTTGGCTGATGTCGTGAATGCCGTCGAGTACATGCACGCAAATCAGATGCTTCACCGCGACTTAAAACCTGAGAACATAATGATTTGTGGTACGGTAGGAGGGCACTTGAAACTCATTGACTTTGGTACGGCCAAACACTTTGCGGACAAGAAGCTGGACGGACCGAATTTCGTCGGGACGCCAGAGTATATGGCCCCTGAGACAATCAAAAATAAGTACCCGACGTATGCAAGTGATATGTGGGCATTTGGCTGTATCGCTTACCAGCTTTTGACAGGAGAAACGCCATTTGGTGGTGGCAGTGCCTACCTCACTTTTCTGCATGTTCAGAATGGGAGCTTCGATGTACCAGACTATCTCTCTCCTGAAGCCCGTGACTTGATTGATGCGCTGCTTCAGAAAGACCCTGCGAATCGACTCGGCGGGACCAGAGCGGATGCGATGAGTGCAGTCAAAGGTAAACGACTGAGCAGGTTCAGCGTACTTGCGGCTTTTGTAAGAGTATTCTAATCGAGATGCTTACCACGCGTTCTGATTACGTAGCGCACCCGTTCTTCAGAGACATTGACTTTGACAATCATATGCAAGTAGCAGTGCCCTCATCACACTTATGTGGATCGGAGCTGTTTCCGCTGGTCAACAGCCTGGTTGATGTTGAAAAGTCGCGTAGTCTCCGTCACACAAAAGATAACGATGGGGACCTCGTACAGATACAGATCAATGCACTCTCGCCACGTGAGAAAAGTATATTGATGCACGTCCTTCGACGCAAACACAAGTTGCACTTACCAGGCACGGGCACCGCAATGAAGGCACATAAGTGTACCTTGGCTTGCTGACGACTTTTTTTTCCGCTGATAGGAATCTATCCGCGCTTCTTCAGCTCGGTGAGCCGCGGTCGGTGCATGTATGCCTGTAACCGAGGCTACGTAGGATTCACACACGACCTACAAAATCAATGGACCGGCAACTTTTCGTTCATGCAGGTTTGTGGAAATGTGTTATTCTCTTACCAAGTCACGTGGCTGCTGATTTACAGTTGCCAGTTGCCATGTACTATTTCATCAATAGTTGTGCGGACCCAAGCTAGGCCAAGCAGCTGCCTTTATTGAAGCAGATGATCGAGGAGGATCTACGTGGGAAACCGAATCAAAGGCGTTCCGTACCGCAATCGATTTCGTGAACGCTCGAAGACCCGAATTTGTTGTAATCTGTGGGGAGTTCGTAAATTCAAAGCCGAGCCAGGCATTCTACGAAGCCCAAGTCACAGCATTCCAAGAACTGGTGAGCGAGATCATTCCCCAAACTCGTCTGGTATATCCCATCAGAGGCAATAATCATCGATCTCGTGTTCGCAGCTAATCTACGTCGCCATAGGTATTTGTCGCAGGGTCAGACGAATTTGACACACCCAGTGACAAGATGGTGTATGAGGAGCATTTTGGCGACGCCCGATACAGCTTTTGGTGGGTGCAATCTGCAACGGCATCTTGTCTGCGTATCTAACTTTAAACAAACATTGCAGGTATGGTGGAATCAAGTTCGTTGTTGCCAACTCGACGATTCTGCGCCAAAATGATGAATTTCCGGATGAAGTGACAACCCAGACAGGTCAGTTAATGGCTGTCGAGGCATTATTACTCATTCACTGAAGAATGTGACACATTCATTTGCTAGAGTGGATGAAGAAGGAGCTGGAAAACGGGAAGCTTTGTGCACGTGGGACCGTGTTATTTTCCGGCCGCTCACTTTGTTCGGTGACCGAAGTTGCTGATACTTCGAACGGAAGCAACAGCGAGCATGCACTGACATGTGTCGAAATCTCCGAGCAGGTCGGTGGTGACTCTGAAACCTATTCCAGCTATCCGATCATCTTATCACAGCTTTCTGCTTGTACAGCTCCGAGCAAAGTACTGGGAAATGATCCGCAATGGCCAAGTATGCCTTGTGTCAAGCGGAAGTTCAAATGACAATGGTGTGGCCAGTATTTTGACCAAAGCTGATGGAGAAGAGGCAGACGAGTATAAGTGCGAGATCGTATCTTGCCAATTGCCGTGGAGAGAATCTTCAAGCATTATCCATTGTACTGAGGTGACCGAAGACGGGGTCCTGACAACAGCTTGCCATGTGGAAAGTTCTCGATCGCTGTCACTATAGCCATGACCAAGACAACGCAACGACTGTAACGTCAAGCCGCAAGCAAGAACGAAGAAGGAAGGTTCACCAACTAAACGTGCAGTGGCAGTGACGCTGAGCCGTCTAGCGCTTGTGAGCAGAACTGTCTTGCGCATTGCACCACGCACCCCTCAAGTCAGAAAATGAGTGCAACTGACGGAAAATTATTCACGAAAGACATCCCAATACTCTGGCATCGACTTCTTTTACATGCGTTCGATTCTGGCATGGACGGAACTTGACGTGTAGCACACACTCCTACCGAGTGGTTTCGAGACTCATGCTGTCCACTAGCTCACCCGGCACCAGCCTACAATAGACTTCCCCCTTCATCTTCGCCCTCGCGACTCTCATCGTGATCGTGCTGACTCATACGAATCGAAACACGACGAATCTGTGCGGAACGATTCGCACGTTCATAGCGCTCGCGACTACGACGATCATTGCGCTTTTTCTGAAACATCACCCCCATCATCACGACTGCGAGTGCAGCAAGAAGGGCAAAAATGCCCACTGCCTCATTATACGACGGTGCGTTAAACGTCACATCAGTCGGCAGCTTCGCATCCACGCTCTCCACCGTCTGAGCCACATTCATCGCATCACTCTCTTCAGCAGGCTTCAAATGCAGTTGAACAGTAGCACTGGCGAGAGCGACTGGAGTTGATCGGCCAGCAAAAAAGCTTCCCATCGTCTCGTCCACTGCCTTCAGCAGCTGAAAAGCTCCTACATCCTCACCCAGTTGCGGAGCCCTTGCATCCACATCCAACGACACGACACAATCGCCATCTGCATCGGCTCCTTCCCGTCTCTTAACTTCCAAAGCATCTGCCTTTACGTGTCTCGGTAAGAGCACGTCAGCTCCGCTCTCGAGAGCATCCAGCAGGTCCGTACACGCCCCTTGCTGTACAGTAAGTACACTCTTGTACCCTGCGTTTGTTCCTCCAGTGGTCAACGACACTTGCATCTTCTTGTCCTCATCTGGAGCCACTGAAGCTCGAGCCAATGAAATGTTCTTGAGCCAGTTAATACTCAGCAACTCCTTCACTTGCTCATGCACGGAGCGCGCCACATCGTAAACGTCCGTATCAGCAGCTGTCGTGCCCTTTACACTCAAGTACAAAGCACATCCATCCCCATGATCCGCTTTGGTCAGCTGCACGTTGCCTCGAAACGCTGCGCTTGTGGGCAGGAGACTCGTCACCAGCGCGTCACTGGAGCTCGGGAGGTCACTGGCGGAACGGCAGCAGCTGTCGCTGGTGTACACAAGCTCAACCGCGACCTGCATTGGAATCCCCATGCCCGACTCAGAAACACGTTGACGAAGTGTTCTGAACACACTGTTGGCTCTGGATGCCAATTGCAAAGTGAGACCTCGAGTGATGGGGACGACCGTTGGTCTCGATTGGCCAAAGCACGGCCGCGATCTTGAAAACAACGGATACCCTCTTCCCATTGGTCGAAAAGTCATTCAACTTCAACATGCACAACTTCCCGATGGCTTCAGTCCTCTACTTTTTGACCAAGGGAATGGACACGATTCCGCTAAGTGCGGCACGAGTGCATATAGGACAGAGTGTGAGCTTTATTGCAGCAGTGCAACAGGTTTTGATGGGCAAGCGAGTTCTTGCAGCACGTGAGAGAGTCGAGTCTTGTCATGTTTTGCTCGTGGGTGACTCCAGTCGACAGTTTTTCAGAATCACGTGCTGGGGAGAAGCGCCGCCTACGTTGACGATCAAGGACTCGACTAGGAGCGCATGTTTTATACGTTTATCACATTATGATGCAGCGCTTCAAGTCGGGGACATCGTGCTCTTTTCGTCTTGCCGTATCAAATCCTATCGGGGTGACGTCGAGGCGCAGTTTGTTCACAACAACGACGAGACGGTCACTTCGTCGACGGTTCAGTTGTTATTCCGGAAGGATCGATACTTTGACACGCAAGAGGTGTCACTCAAGAGCTTGTACCCAACGATTGAGTGGTATAAACAGCATTGTCGAGATGTTGTAATCGAGGACGAGAACATGGCGTCGACGGCTTCGAAGAGGAGAAAGAACAGGTCACTGATCACAGATCTGCGTGAGAACATGATGGTGTCAATTCTTTGCAAACTCCGGTCCGCGACAGATACAGAGTATGCAAACGCTCGTGGAGTAACAAAGGTTGCGTCAGAAACGGATGGTGTATTGCTTCGTGAGCTAGTCATGTTTGACTCAGCAGGAGACGAGATGAATGTAAACCTTTGGGACCAACACGCTGATAAGCGATTTGTCACGCGATTACTTGAACACCGTGGTGCTATAGAGATCAGCAACGTTGTCGTTAGCCTCCAAGCTTTATCAAACCAGTTGCTGGCCAACACCACACCACACACAACGTTCCGCCTTTTGGACCCAGGCGACCCAGAGTCGATTGCAACCACAAGGGAACTCGCTTGTTTACAGAATGTAGACACAAGTGCTTTGTCCGAAGCACGAGTCGACCCGTTATCGTTTGCGTCCGTAAAAGATCTGGAAAGCTCTGTGTTCGAGGCTCTGGCTATTCTGACGACTATCTGCGTTGAGCAAATATGCTTAAACCGTCCTTTTGGTACTGAAAGAGCGGTTTTGGCGCGCTTCGCTTCGCATCTAGCGGAACAATTTTGTACTGGATGCGACCAAACACTACCAGAACTCCCTTGTCGAGACTACGCTGCCCAACTTCAGTATGGGGCTTGCCCGAATAAATGTGAGACGTATCCAGGTAGCACGATTCGGACTCAACGTGATTGGAGGTATCGCTGCTTCACAATGATTCTGTGCGACTCTTGGAACGATCGATTGCAGGTCGAAGCAGATGATCGAGTATTTGCAGAAATTCTAGGGAACATCGAGGCGCGAGCTTTGACCGAGGGTCCACCGTCGAGACACCAGTTCAATACCTCGTGGGCTGCAGCCTCTCTTATAAATGCTCTTGTCGGTGATGCCGATCAAAAGTTTGACGCCACACTGGTGTGCTCCACGGACAAGGTTAGCCAAAACACTGGCAGCTATCAGGAGTCAAGTCACGCTGAAGATAGACTGATTGCACGGAAGTTCATCCTGGTGTCACTCGTACCATGTGATGTGTTTTCAGTGTAGCCATAAGATTGGAGTAGGATGGGCTTTTCTTCCAGCTGGTCATCCATATAAATGCAATCATGACCCCGAGGATCAAAGTGTGATCGACATCACAGCAATTGTAAAAATAGCACATCGGATCTAGATGCGTAATGAGCAATAGTACACCAAGCTCATACTCGAGCCTGCATAGTATGCCGATTTGAACCGTAAAGATTACGAGATGCGTTACCGAATTTCCGATGCAAATATGCGGTGGCAAACCAGCTAGGTGCGCTGGTTTCCCTGATTGCCAGGAACATCTGCTTGAGAAGCACGTTAATATTGCTAGACGACAAAATCCGTTGTAGTGGTGCTTGAGTAAGGCATGGCGTAGCTTAATGTAGCGACGTTGCCGACATCCAAGAAGACAAAGCAGATGAACATTGAACTACGCGAATCGTTTATTTGGTTTACACTGGAGCTTCGTCCATACAGAGCAGCTACCACTACGTATCATGACTTACGGACCCACAGCTTCATCTTTGCTTCTTATCTACTACTACTACGGCCTGTGATCTTTTTCCTGCGACTGTCTGTGTGCTCATTAGTGAGGGAACAAAAAGTGATGGCTAGCACACGGGTTGAGGATGTTGTGTGTTAAGACTCGTTCCTGTGTTTGAACCACACTGGCAAGATGAAGTTTCTGGCGCATGTCGTCCCCAAAAGCTACCCGTCGCTTGGATGTCTGTCGTCAGCAGCAACAAATAGCGACCTTTATCACAATAATAGCAGGATTTGTGATAAAAAGTGCACCTAGCTACGGTACAACTGGAGATATTCCAACGAGCTTGCAGTATGGACAAATGCATTCGGCCGATATGCGATATCACAGGTGGATTATAAATCGCAAAGTGTATAGATTGTGAATCTCGTTTGCAAGCGACAAATAGGTCAGTCATCTATTTGTACCCATGTTGATAAAGCTATCAAATGACTACTTCAGCGACGACTATGGCTACTGAAATACGATAGTTCTACGCGATGTCACATTGGCGTTCATGTTCCGAAAATTATGCTAATGTTCGTGAAACTGAGTGGCGGCCTCTGGTTGTCGTACATGCAAACACCCTTTTGAAGTGTTGCTGTTGCCAGTGCATCCATCGGTAAAAATGCATCTATCGCTGTACGACAACAGCTATATCGTTGATATGTGACTGGATGACGTCCGAGTCTTGGTACATAAATCCACGACGGCTGCGCAATGTCTTCAGAGCTACAGACCGGCAAATCTAGCCATCTAGCAAACCCATTAGCTTCGCTACTGTATCCCTTCAATTTGGCGCACAAACTCAGACAGACTTGGCGAGGTTAGTTAGCTACAGGTGCAAATGTTGGCTAAAGAGCAATGCCGCTTCATGGGGTAGTAGCCATGAATGCCCCGTTTGGACGTTGACGCCATCGTTAGAACACATCCAGAACACATCCAGAACAGACCTGAAGAATGTATGCGTTTTGGAGAGCAGGGAAATACAGTCTCCGTCTGCATCAAAAACATACCAAGCGCGGTCAAAGTAAGTCCATCAGGGTGCTGTACGGTTTACTTGCTATTGCAATCTGTTGGCAAACGAAAACGCAGATAAGTGGTGAGTTGGAAACATGCTCGTGCTGGTAGACGTTACGTGATTGTGCGCGTGCACTCTTTAATGTTGTTCAGGCGAGCTTCGGTCGAGCTCAAGTATCTTCGTGCTTTGGTGCTTGTGCTCGCAACGCATGAGTGGACAGATTCGATATTGTAAGAGTAGATTCTGAAATGGCTGGTGGTATATGCAACACTTCTGTACAAACATTGACATTACGTATGCATAACAAGTATGGTGCGTCCCATGTGGGTACTCCCTTTGGCCAGTTAAAGCACGTCGAGCGTTGTGGGAAGTCCTGGGACTCCCAATACGTCAGTGCCTTGAAGTCGTCGCTTCGGAGTATGGTCCTGGCCACTGTTGTAGCGGTCAATGACGGCAGAGATCGACCCCGCAACCTTTCTCGGTTTGCCCATGCCTGCCTTTAGAAAGCACGCCGTAGTTCCTGAGTGCTCGTTGACAAAAGTGTACGCCAAACACCCCGTGGTAGATAAGCACGTTGCGCAGCAGTCACCGGGCTGTAAACCATACACCGTCTTGATGTCACCACCGTAGAAGTCGTAGCCAGTGAACTGTCGGGCACACTGCGATGGCACAGGAAGACACTGGTAATAGCCGGATGTCCATGGCATGCAGTAGTTTCCACTTGGGCAACACTCGGGTTTCGAAGCAGTGCCACAGCGACCAAAGTTAGAGTTTGGGCATGCCGTGGCGGAAGTGCCATCGAGAACGACGATACTTGCAGCAAGAACGGTGAACGTGCGCAACATGATCGGAAAAGGACGGTAACAAACCAAAGACCACGGAATTGTTGCGTGTAAAATCGGAGAATGCGCTCGCGTGGGGACTCGGGAGAGGTGGTCGTGCGTCCGATCATCTGTCTTACCACGTTGTCTGTAGTAGAGGTGAGGTTGCAGCATCAGCAAGACGACGACTCTATCACTCGACATCAACAGCAAAGCAAAGACCTCACGAAACTCGATTTTACAGGCAAAGGTAGCATTGCTGACTGGTGAAAAGCAGGGAGACTGCGCTCAAGGTGTTTTGATTAGCTAGGCTGTAACTACTTGACTGATGGCCTAACAAACAGAGCCAACAGTCTGGGTGGGTCCCTCTGACCATCGTTGTTATTCAGACTAGACCATTGGCATGTTGCTGGTATTCTTGATCTCAGCGAGAAACCGGAGCAGCTTTGGAGTCCTGTCCTGATCGCTGGTGTAGCTATCGACGACGGCTGAAACGAATCCAGAGGCCACTTGCGGGGTTCCCATACCCGCCTTTAAATAGCAAGCGGTTGTCCCAGGGTAGCTGTTCATGAAAGTATAGGCGAGACAACCAGCCGTCGCCAGGCACGCCGCACAGCAATCACCCGGCTGGAGACCGTAGATCGTCTTGATGTCGCCTCCGTTAAAGTCGTAGTTGGTGAATTGCCGTCCGCACTGACCAGGCAGCGGAAGGCACTGGTAGTAATCCGAGCTCCAAGGCATACAGTAGAGGTTCTCCTGACAGCAGTACGCAGCGGTAGCGTCTCCGCAACTGTTGCCGTTAGCATTACTGCACGTATCCCCCGTAGCGATTGATAGAGCTAACACAGACAACACAGCAACGGACGCGAGCCTGACCATCTTTGTCGTCTTAACTACTTGTAACACGTGCAGAATGATAAAAAATGACATCCACATGCCGCCGTAGTGCTGCGTCCATCGCATAAGGTACTTCATCTTTGAACCCGGTTGCACTAACGAGCGGACATCTTCCTGAAGTCCAACGCTGAGATCTCACCGGAACGACGAGCGTCGGCTGTGCGACAGAGTGACTATAAGGGGCCAAGCTCCGTCTCGTACAGACGCGAGAGTGCAGCAACAAAACCTATCGATACGTTGCTCACAACAGCGTCGCTACTTCCTCTATCACCATCATTCGCAACGTGTTTCCTGGCATTGATTAACCTACTTTTGTTGTGAGCAGAGGTGTGTGTGCTTGCGACGTTTGCTCTCTCTATCGCGACAGCTGCACACGCCATACGATCGTCGATTGACCGAGTAAAGACGCAACTTCGCTACATTCGTGCTCTCTTGCAACAGAAAAGAAGAGAGATCTGAGCTATGAAACAAATGGCGAATTTGCGCAACATCGGACACTGCCTTTGTCATCTGTTGGACGCGTACATCTAGCACTTGGCGGTTGAAATACCGTCGTCGCATCTTATGATCAACTTACAATTAACGGATTTTTACTTCAAACTCACGTGGTACGAACGAGAACCGTTCCTTACGATTGACGACGCGTTCGAGTCAATAGTTTGTCGTAGCCTTCATGACCGCGAGCACGCATCGTTTGGTCACCTGCTTTCAAATTTGCTTTCGATGTGCTCCTGACTACTTTTTGTTCATGTATCAATCCCGTCGAGGGACATCAGACATTTCATGGACACAGTGGTACTATAATGACAGTAAGATAGGGGAGCAAGCTCTGGAGCTCTGCCTTTGATACAAGTAATCCAGTTCACAGAACTGAATCAAGTCGCAACAAACACTGTACAGCAGCAGCAGTCACTGGAGAAGAATTATGGTGATGCTAAGTTCTGTTTGAACCCAGTACAGTACACTCAAGTAACACGATCAGCCTTTGCTTATCAGCGTCCAGCATTTGCTTGTGTGATCATGTTCACTTTTGATCGACTTTAAGCCAATCACGTGCGTGCATCGCAATTGTGACCTAGCCGAAGAGTGGCTTTGGATATGCCTATATACTGATGAGGGGGGACAGACGAGATCGTACTCAGTTCGCGCGAGGTAGACCTTGCCGCGTTATCTTCAGAGACGGACGGATAAGTACGATTTAAAAGCTCGGCATTCAACCTTGCGCACAGTCACTAATGGCTTCACCCTTGGGCTCGCACTAAAAGCTCGATAACACATGCGATACCGAGCTCAGGATCTGGCTGCCACCTTCTTTTCGTCCACAAGTATGGAATTGGTCATCTACCGGCTGACTGTAAAACATCTGAACATTGGCAGACGAAACCGACTAGTCTCTGGAGCAGTTGTAGCTTCTTCCCGAATACCTACCTAATGCTGGTCGTCATGCCACATACCAGCCCTGAAAGACCCATTTACCAACTACAGACGACGTCAGAGCTACATCTCACGATCTCGTGAGATAGGTCCACGAGGACTGTTCTTGCGCACAACTGCTTAGCTCTAGAAAGCTGGTGCGGTTGTGAGGTCGTATGCTTGCAGGTTTCCAGCGTACAGCGCGAACCTGAAACAACAATCGTGCTGCTTCCTCATTTAGAATATACGCAGTGCTGGAGAAGCTGTCAAGTCTTAGCATTACTCCTTTTGAGCACCAGCACCAACCATGCGTCTATACTGGATCCCGCTCGCGATACTTGTGGCCAATTCTCATGCAAGTGGTACTGCGCTCTCGAGGCCCGATCACCCCGTATCGGAAGTAAACCAGGATGTGGCACCGGTCACAGGCGTTGCTGCTCATGGAGCTGATGATGGTACTTCTCCGCGCCATCACGATGTGCTGGCACACAAGACAGAAGAAGAGAGGTTGGTTAATTTTGGACGGTTTGCCGAATTACTTAAGCGGTACATCCCTTATACGACTGGCTGGCGTGTCAAAAGGATGAGGAAGAGGCGCAAAGATGAGAGAGAGGCTGTGAAACGCGTGAACAGTAACTTTTGGCATGCGATGGGTTAACAGTATCTGGATCTTGACCAACACGTATATGACCAATGCCGTTCCGAACTGGCATCGCCCAATTGATATACGGACTACGTCCACTCCACATGATAACTCAACTAAGAAAGCTCTTTGTGTTGAACCCCAGTATATTGTTTTCGGTGCTCTAAAAAATTGCGTCATTCTCATCTCAAAAGTGTTGTGTTCTTGTTTCTGCCCGATCGCCCTGGTGAGCCAATAAATCTTTATGACAAGTTTGTGTTTGTCTTGCAAGCAGCAGCAACATCAATACTGGAGACATAAAGGTTTGCACAAAGGCTTGTACCAAATAGGACGCCTACTTCTGCTTGTCGTAAAGCCGAAGCGAGTCCATTCCGTACAGCACATAAACATACATGGCTAATATTTTTCAAGTGCTACCTAAAGAAACAGCTGTCTAAGCACCACTCGTTTTATACAGCAATCAATGGTCATCAGGAAATGCTCCAAGGGGCAGTGAAGCATTCACTAAAATGGTGTTACGGGTGAAAACGGCAAGTTATGATCAACCGGTCCTTTCGCACACTACATCAAGCATAGGGGATAAATCAAAACATGAGTTCTATTTCTCAACAATTACTCCGATGCGCAGTCCACCGGTCCTACAATTCTTGCCGCATAGCGATGCCGATGCAAAATGATATTGATAAGAGCAACTGCTATCTGTCAGAAGCTCCAGATCTCATGTTTTATATGCAGGTACATGCACTTTGAGCTCATCGAGATCTTCAACGTCATAAGTTCCTCGCATAATCTCATGGCAGATCTTGATTAAAAAGTATTCTTGCTTTTTGAAGTAACTAATATCCTCAGTCCCATGGCATTGTCGAACGACGTGTACACCTATTTCGTGATCATCTACCAGCTGCCCAATACAGCGACACAGAGTCGTGCGTACAAATAGTGCATCGCGTTCCTAGACGCTGAATGCAAAGACGAGAAGGCATTTATGTGGCTATACATCTGGTTCGTAGCGCTGAGTTGCGCAGCGAGTTTGTAGAAACTACACAAAGAACAGATAATGTCCATTGAAACGGAGCTAGCTCATTCGGTGAAGCCTGAAAGCTAAGTAGTGTGCAAACTAACGAAGCCAGCTTAGTCAAAACTAAAGCCTTATTATAATCCACACGCTTGACATAGGTAAGCGAATGAACTCAAAACTACGCCAAATTACGCTACAGCTGTTGAGAATGCCACAAAAATGTTGGTAAGTGCTGTTTAGAAAGAGCAGATAGTAGATACGCTAGTATCCTTGTGCATGAAACAACGTAACAAATTTTAATGAATGAAGCTTTCTTCGGTCGGCAGTGACGCCTTTTGAGTTCTCGAGAGTTAATAATACGCTGTCATTTAGCAGTACATTACAATCAGTGCGCTCCGGCTTTTTCTGATTTAGTTAGATGTCAATTTAGATTGCTACAATCAGCATGCAAAGGCATGTACAATGTGTTCACAAATTCAATCAAGGCAGGTGCTACATACGAGTGACGGGTGATTAATAAATACCTCGTGGTCAACTAAAGGTATCCAATATCTGATACGGGAGCAAGTTCCAGAGCTTGCCCCTCACTAACTTATTGCGGGCTTGAAGGGTACAGAGCCATTAGTGACTGTGCGCAAGGTTGATTGCCGAGCTTTTAAATCGTACTTATCCGTCTGTCTCTGAAGATAACGCGGCAAGGTCTACCTCGCGCGAACTGAGCACGATCTCGTCTGTCCCCCCTCATCAGTATATAGGCATATCCAAAGCCACTCTTCGGCTAGGTCACTATTGCGATGCACGCACGTGATTGGCTTAAAGTCGATCAAAAGTGAACATGATCACACAAGCAAATGCTGGACGCTGATAAGCAAAGGCTGATCGTGTTACTTGAGTGTACTGTACTGGGTTCAAACAGAACTTAACATCACCGTAATTCTTCTCCAGTGACTGCTGCTGCTGTACAGTGTTTGTTACGACTTGATTCAGTTCTGTGAACTGGATTAAAGGGAGAGCTCCAGAGCTTGCTTCCCTATCTTAAAGTAATTGAATCCAGAGAACTAAATTATGTTCTGTATATGTGTGTACTTATTATGGGTGGCTATGGAATAGGATGTGATGTGTTTGGATGAATGAAAGTGCTGATGTAGTTGTGTGTTACAGCTAATCCTTGATGTAGTTGTGTGGTACAGCTAATCTTTGATGTCGTCGAAGTTTTAAGGAAACGAACATGATAACAGGGTGACGGAGAATGATCCTACCCGTTTACGCCGGCAACCACAAAGCGTGGTCGACGTTATACAGATTATTATGTAGTACTATGAGAGATTAATTGAGGTGCTTCCTTTGACACCGAGAGAGAGAGAGGTGAACATAATTTGTACCGTTTTATTTTTCTGGGTACTTTGGATGGGGACCACTTCACAATAACCGTCTGTGACGTGGTCACTTTTTAGCCAATCATGTGCGGACATTGGTGCGGAAATAATTAGTTTTACTGTCCATGAGGTCGCATTGAGAACCCTTGTCAGAGCAGCACCTATTATGCATTTCTACGTAATCACAGGAATGATCAGGCTCTACAGCACTAAATACTACGTTGAGTACACCTAGCGTTATTTCGAGTCCGACTTAGACAGAAAGTAGGTTATCAAGGTTCGGCATTTACCTTGTGCACAGTCACTAATGGCTCTTCACCCTGCCGGCTCGCAATCAGAACGAAAAAAAGAGAGTGAAGATAGGCAAAAGATCAATTAATGCAGTCCAACCGATAGCTGCAAAAAGCTCAACCACATCCCGACTCGGTAGACTGGTAGGCAAACTCAACGACTTTCCCATCTCTTGTACGACGGAAGCGAGTTTCAACGGGATCAAAGCCCTGCTCCTTCGAGTCGTACAATGCCCAATGCGGCGTAGGGGCCGTGTAATCATCGGCTGTAAACGGCGTGCCGTCTTCGTAAAACTTAGTGACGAGCTCGTGGAAGCGAGGGAAGTCAATCCAAGTGTGCCACATTCCGTCACGACTAAACTTCTTCTTCGCAATCAGCACACAGTTCGAGTGTGCATGCTCCGACGCCAGCGCGTAGTCTCCGCTTACACGACCACAGAGAGCTGAGCAGAAGCCACGCACTTCTTCATGCCACGGCACGTTCTTCATGGTCAAATTAGAACCATCTGACTTTCCGCAATACGTGACGGCTTTCACCTCGATAAAGTCGGGCTGGCCGATGTTGATGAGCTCCGCGTAATTGTCGAGCTCTTCCATGTTGTAGGACTTGACCAACGTCAAACGGTACACTGTGCGCTGCCCCTTGTGCTTGAGCTCTTCCAGACAGGCAAGGAATCGCTCCCAAAAGTCTTTGAACAGCGGCCGATCCACAGCACGCAATGATTCCTTGGTGCCAGCATCAACACTGACGTAAAGTTGCGTGATCGGATCGAGTGCAGCAATCTTTTCGGGAAACTGAGCATTTGTAACCAGGAAGGACGAAATGTGACGGTTGTGAAGCTGCCTGCAAAACTCGTTGATCTGGGGGTACATGATAGCCTCGCCCACGAGGGACAACGCGCAGTGGCGCACAGTGAAAGCTTCTTCCCATCGTGCAGGAATTAGTCCAGGAAGTCCCTTCAGTTCCTTAATCATGCTTTGATGGCGCTCAATCGAGCCCTTCACAAGCGTTTCGGCATCATCCATCTTCCAACGCCAGACACGGCCAACCGGATTTTTGTGGTGACGCCAGCAGAAGACACACTTGTTGGCGCATGCCAGACTCGGTGTCGTCTCCATGCACTGGTAGCTTGTGATTCCATAGAACGCGTGCTTGTAACAGCCACCACGTCCACGTAGTTGGTGCTTCGTCCAGCGGCAAAGCTTCACAGCACTGTGTGTACCAATGATCTTGTATCCTTCTTTTGTTAACGCCTTGCGCTGCATCGGAGTCACCATCTCGCGCAATATGTTCGCTGCCTCGGACTCCTTCATGGACTTTCCAATATCCTCCACATCTACCATCCCATCCTCATCTCCAGTCCTCTGCGCGTTTTGCTCTTCCTCGTCTGACAATTCATCCACCAAAAACTGTTCATTCATGCGGTCTTCCTCATTAGGCTCCACGCTTTCACCATTCGCTGCGGCTGCTTCCACCTTCCCAGCTCTCTTCAAACGACGAAACTCGTTCTGCGACAGCCACTCCTTCTTGCCAGCTTTGTCAGCATCCTTCACCCCATTCCCATCTTTTTTCAGCGCAGCTACCGCCTTCTCCGAGCTGAACTCGCACATGGCAGCAATTAAATTGTCCATCCAGACATCAAACTGCTTGAACTGATCGACGTTATCATCACCTAGACCCAACGCTACCAGTGACGGCGAGCCCAGATCACTCAAGTCACGGTCCAAGTTCTTGGCAGCTGTAGCATAGTCTTCATCATACTCTGCATTGCCCAATCCAAACACGGCGTGCGGGACACCATTGAGCCACGACTTGGACACACGAAAGTCTTGTGTCATATCCGTGATCCAGTTGCAAAACACACGCGCGTCTTCTGGTGGGTTGCCGTGCGTCCAGGTGGACAGAATCGCCACCACAATGGCCTCCTGCTCCAAGTTGTCCTGGTCATAGTCCTTCATGTTCACGACGCTCGTCTGGAAGTGGAAGTTGGCAACGTTCAAGGCAAACAGCGACTTCTGCAGCGTCTCAGCCATCGTCTTGGACACGCCCGTTTGCGTGCCATACAAAATGCGAACCGTCAACGGCTGGGGCAGGTCGCTCTTCGGCTTGCAGCTCGAGCTCTTCTTCGCCCTCTTCTTGCGTGAAATTGCAGCTGCGTCAACAGACGACGGGCGGGGCTGTACTGACAAGTACAACAGCACGCTCATTGCTACGAGGAGCAAGCTCACGCCTGCACTAGCAGCAGGCGACAGCATACTGAGAGGGGTGATTGATCGACTAGTGAGCTGCTCGCGACCAATAGGTTTGAAAGTCGGACTCAGATTTGGAATTTCTGATTTGTTCCCTCGTGAGAATAGTGAAGGGAAGTATACCGGTTTTGTGTCGACGGTTTTGAGTCGAAGGTTTTCGTTTGAGTCGTGAGGTCGATTTAGCCAATCTCTACTCGCTGAGTGAAATTTGGATATTATCATTGGTGGATAGTCAGCAATGATGCTGCGCATTGTCATTGGACAGATATAGACGGCCGAAAAATACTTGGCTAAGAGACCTCCCTCTTTGTGGCCCAAGCTTTGAGTAGACTTTTACTAAAGAGAGACTGACCGAGAGCAGCAAGAGATCATGGCGACCAAGGGAACGTCATTGTGGCGCATGGCAGGCGTGTCGTACTTGCAGTACGTGAACCAGTCGGCGGTTGTGCTCCGCTCGGCGTTGAAGGAGCCGGTGAAGAGCACGGTGCAGGCGCGTTCGAACGTCGAGTTCGCTGGCTTTAAATGGACCAATGGCGAGCGTGGTGAACGCGGTACGTCGTTTGATGCGATAACTGATTGGTTGAAACGGTCAGAAGCACTCATGGGTACATTCTGGCTTCTGGTGGGATGCAGTGGATGTGGACTCGATCAAGACCATCGCCGAGGCGTTTAAGAAAGCGTAAACAGTTGGCAGGGACAGCAAAGCGGATCGTCGTGGACGAGGATCGGTCTCAAGGTTTCTAAAACTGGAGAAATAAACAGAGTCAACAGGAGAAAAAGAGCAGGAGAAGAACGGACAGCAGCAGCTTTGTTTCTCTCTCACTTTCTCTCTCACTTTCTCTCTCTCTTTCTGGCTTCTTGTTGACACGCAGTGTCTTGATTGAGAACGTCAGGTGTTCTGACAGACTAGCGGAGTACCTGCTCCTCTTGCAGGGCTATACAGACAGCAGCAACTTCGAGACGCTCTTGTGGACCCATACATGCTGGACGTTGCTCTACGTCTGTTTGATTAGCTGCGTATTGGGGTGCACATGACGTCAACACCCCGACACAAAGTTAGGGGCAAACCAACAAGGCAGCACTGAAGGTGACCTGGACACGGATCAAAAGGCTTGTGTCCTTATTTATTTACAGCGTCAGTAACCCGGTCCTCGCCAATTCGTGGAGATATCTGCATCCTGCTCGACTGCTCGAAGGTACGATGACCTGACGTACTTGTGACGTCGATACGAGTCCTTTGCGTACTGATACCCTAGCACAGGAGGTAGCACCACGACAGCAAGTCCTGCACCAGCAACTGCCGCGACCGCAGCGACACCTAGAATCGCTGTCTTTGTGACGACCCGCATGGGTGTCCAGCATCCAAACTTGGGACTCTCGGAGCGCAGAAAACGCAGCGGTACACACAGCGTCTCGTCGTGGTTGGTCCATGGACGAAGACAAGACCAGCAGAACTCTTGGTCGCACTGGAAGCATTTCATGTGCGAGCAGCCGCCTTGCTTTTCAATCGCAGCCTTGCAACCAGGACATCCGCGCACGTTGTGGCGCTTTTTCCAGTGGCCAAACCGCTTGTCCACGCGACGACAGGTCGGGAGCTTGTGAAAATCGCCACCGCAACGCATACACGACTCGTGCTTGCAGGCCTGGCACTTGATTCGACGCGTTGATGAGTTGAGCGGTTCTTCCAAGACAGCGCAACAACCAGCACGGGGACAAAAGCGGATGCCAACTCGCTGGTTTGCAAGGAACGTCTCGTACTTGGCAAATGTTTCAGGTGACACTGCAGCTTGAATGAGCTCCTGGGCCAATGGACGCGTGCATTGCGGCGCTGGACACACCATCTTCTTTTCCGAGACTTCGCCTTCCTGTACCTTGTACTCAACGTACCAGCGCGTGCAACTGGCACAGAACGATCCGCAGCAAGAAGTGCAGACATGAGCCTGGAGCGTGTCCAGCTTGTCGAAGCAGATCTGGCACTCGCACTCCCTCGTCGTGTCAAAGACGACGTCCAATGGTACGGTAGTGCAGCCTATTGCAGCAGGAGCCGACGCGCTCATGAGGAACACGTCTACTGTAGCTGCTTGAGCGTGAACTAGAGCTCCCGTAACAAGGTCTTCAGCTTCGTGCGGTTTTCGATGCAATGACGCTGTCGAGGGTCCGAACGGTAAGGAGGAAGACGATGTTGAGGAGGAGGAGAAGGAAGCCGTCGGTTGAAGGCGATTCCGGTGACGGTGCGTCTGGAAAGTCGAGGAGCACTGTTGGTCCGTAAAGATGGCACTCTCGTGGCGCGTCCGGATGGTACGTGCAGCTCGGGAGCTAGAGAGTAACACCTCGGGTTGGTCCTCGTCGTCCAGCTTGGAGAGACTTGATCGCTGGCTCTTGACGTGGTGCAGGTGCGACTTGCCACAGAAGGTTTGACGACGCATAGCGGCGACCATCGAGACGTGATCGTTCGACGGCCGAAGCTCGAGTGTGGCGTGAGGAGAGTGATGATTTGACTCGGAGCTCGTTTGCCAGCGAGCGAGCTCCTGAAATTCGCAGGTGCACGACTGCCAAACAGTTACAGTGCTGTACTCGACCTGAGTTTCAGGAGCGTGCGACGATTCAAGCGCCACGGGACGCAAAAGACTTGGCTCGTGTCGTTTCAGCTGCACCAGGTGAAGCAGCAAAGCTGGACTGCACTTACTGAGCTGAGGTGAGGTAAGTCAGGCTGGTGCTTTGCTTCATTATCGGTTCCAGTGCTTGAACAGCGCATCATGAATCACTCGGAGCTTTCGTCCGAATCCAGTGCTGCAACTGCAAACGGCTCGTTTGCAAGGGCACGTAGTCAAAACAACACAGCAGCATGTTCGCGGACGGATCGCGGATACTACTGTTGGTCCTACTTCCGGATTAGGCGTCGTCTTGTCCGACATGGCAGCTGAAGGAGAAGCGCGTCGTGGTCCACCGTTGCGTGAAGAAAAGAGGCCAAGGTTTGAACTCGCTGCACTACTGATGTGCAAAGGTCATCCTGGAATCAGATGCGAGTGATGCGATACCATCTTTACAGTCAGAGATCCCAACGTGCACTGGGTCTTCTCGAGAGGTGATGGAGCGTATGGGTGGCGCAAGAAGCACCGAGTTCTGGTTACAGGCAAGTCGCACGTGTAAAAAGGCGCCTCCGACGGACTGGATCATGCTACAAAGAATGCACGTGGAGTCAGTCGAGCTCACACTTCGTCTTCTTCAGAGCGTCCACCGTGCAGCTACTCGTATTGTTCAGTACGGACCGGTTCGGAAAGTAGGACGTCTGAGCCCGTATCGACATCCAATGGGTCAAGAACAGCTCATCGTCTCTGTCTCCATCTCAGCTTCAAAGGTCGTGCTAGCAGTACCTACCGCCAACCTCGAGACTGAAGTGCAGCTTTAGCACTAACTAAGCCGCACCAGGACGACGGTATATCGTCACACCATCGCCTGATCGTTCGCCCTGATGATTTCATTCCCTACTGAAGCAGCTGAACATTCGTGCGGTACCACGACAATTGGACATTGGACGTTGGGAAGACCGGAGATTTGTAGTCGAACAGCATTATGAAGCTCGACGACGCGATAATAGCGAGCAAGTGTCTGCTTCATCGAAATTTGGAGGCAGATTTGCTTTATAGTCGACGTCATGTCCAGTTTGTATCAGACGCTGGGTCGTCTGTTTTTGCATTCGCTCACATAGTTCCGTTTGGCAAGTCGACTGCGTAATGCTTGCGGAAAGTCACGTTTTTTTAATCTATCTGCATGTATCCAGAAATGAGGCCAATGTTGCTAGTCACATACTTGCGTGGCCCATAGCTATTTTTACTAAATCTTCAACCTCAAGCTGGAAGCGTTGGCAGCAGCATGTGGAAACTGTGCAAAATTGCGAGATCTCCTCAATGGAGTACAGTTCGTGAAGAACGCAATGTCATCAGTGGTCGACGGCTGTGTACACCATACCAACCACCTAGCCATTCAACACCTTCCTCTTCTAGTCGAAACTTACAGGTCATTACTGCTTAGCTGCTTCAACGAGCACAGTCCATATCGTGTAGGTGGGGTCCACACGGGCAAAGCCATGATCCAAAGCTCGTTCACCGCCGCTGGTGTGATAGTTACAAAGACTTTTACTGGTTTCTAAAGCGTCGACACAGAGGCTTGGCACGGCACGAAACCATAACTCTGTCGCACACGAGGTCTCGACACTTCTGTGAATACAAATTTGCTCGAGATTGGTATGCTTCCCACTTGCTACCAGCTCAAAATTTGGTTTGGTTCAGATCACTTGCTTCAGGCTGCATACAAGATCATTAGTCAGTCGATGATGTATCCACGTATGGCAGTTATCACCAGCAAAGTATTGACATTCCTGATATGCAGAACCTACGATGGACCCATTTGCATGAAAGTAAGCTGAACGCTGAGTTCGCACTTCCATGCGGTACCGGACTTCTCCGATATCATCTCATGTAGTAAGCCCAATCGCGTCGCAAGAAGATACACATGGGCTTCGTCAACGACTGCAGCTTGCTGAACGTCACTGTAACTGGAAACCGGCATCATCTGGTTGAGTTTGCTTTGCTTTCAAGGTGCACTCGTGAGCTGTGTGCACAACAACACTAGCTTGTCGGTCGATATCAAATAGCGTTTCGACAAACCTTGCTCGTCTCTTCAGCATCTTTTATCGTTTCTTTTCTGTGTTTTGGAAAAATGACGCGGTGGCCGCGAAGGTGTAGAATAGCTTGCCCTCAACTGCACATCGGATCCTACTGGGGTCGACCGAATGCTGGAAACGCGGGCACGAACACTGCGCGATACTGACGTTCGATCGAATTCCGGTCGCTTTCTCGACGGGGTCTTGATTCCTGGCATCCTTGAGTCGAGATTGCGACGGCGCTGAATCACAAGAACGGATACATTTAGCCTCATGCAAGCATTCATCTGCCACCAAATTGCGTGTAGTACGTCCGTACAGCTTCCGATTCCAGTCGATTGGCAAGTTTCTCTCGTCGCGACGTCTCTTGAAGCTCAAAACTTGGTGTTTGCAGATTGCGAACTACAAAACAGAAACACAATGGCTTAAGCTTACATTCGGCATGATCTCCTATTACCAAGACGTACCTGGGAGGGCCTCAAGGACTGCAGGCGTGCCTTCAATCTCTCCCCATGTCATCAGCGGACTTCCATGCACACCTGGCGCAATAAGTGGCGTCATTGGCACTAGCGAATAATCCTTTCGAGACGATGGTAACATCGCTCCATTTTTGGCCGCACGGAGCTACAAATCATCGTATCGTAAATTTCTATGCAAACAAGTGCTGTGGCGTAGTGAGTAGACGACAAATTTACATGTACATCCTCGGTGGGGAATCTGGAGTTCGCGTAAACTATCTTCTTCCTCGCCTTCGGTGGCTGCCTAACGCGTGAATCTGGGCCATTTTCGAGTAAAAGCTGTTCTTCTGAACCCGCTGGAACCTATTGGCATCCAGACAATGTCAGCAACCTATTTTGCAGACAGCAATTCCCGATTCAGGCGATTCAGAATGTACAAAAATACCACACCTTACAAAGATCCTGCACTCCTGCCACATCAGGTGGAAACAAGAGCGCATTTCTTGCGCGAAACACCCACGTCTCGGGAGCACTAGGTCTCTCGTCTTTTATGCCTACAAAAGCCCACAAACTCTCGATCAGCTGTTAGATCCAATTGCTCAACAAGTTAGCAGGTGGTCGATCGAAATACCTTTTGGAGCACACGACTCGTCAACAAGTTGTCGCTGCTCCTTTGAAATCCACGTCCCATCCGTCAACAAATGCAGCTTCGGATCACCCTTTTCCTCATCTTCATCGTACGCCCAATGATACTGTCGCCGATGGTCCCTTACTGCCTTTTCTTGCAGTTCATTGAACGATTCATTGTCCTCTGAAGTGTACGTTGCTACAAAGCGGCCCAGTGTCATTGAAGCATTGGTGCCGTCTCTATCAGCATGTTTTGCGTCCAACTCCAAGCCGAGATTAACAGAACGCTCGGTAGCTTGGTCCCACCCCATGCCACCAGCATTACTTTGCACTGACGGAGTCCCTCTTGCACTTGCCCCACGTAACAAAGTATCCGTTTCTGTCCTACTCTCGTCTCCATCACGTAACACCTGAACTTTATCCGATACACAATTAAATTCATAAATTAGAAGAGCAAATTATTAATAAAGTGTGTAATTGACCTATTTTCAAGCACTAAAGAGTATGAGAACTGCCGCACCTCTGTCTGCCTCTTGAGTCCAGGAAGGTCTGGGAAGAAGTCCCGCTCAATGATCTGGCCGAGCGCCTCAACGTACTGCTCTTCCTCGAGTACCACCTTCTTACTCATAAATGGCACTCAGCTTCCTCACTAGAACTTGCTCGTATGCAATTTTAGGAGTCTAGGTCGGTGGCGCAGTACTTGAATTCAGGTGTGCCTTCATAATGACAACCTTTTACTAGAATTAGTAAGTTTCGTAATTCATTTCTTTAGGGTGCCTTTTTGTGAAAACACAAACCGTGTTGATGCAGCATAATGGAGTTAAAAATAAAGAAATGTGCCCCAGAAATGTGCCCCAGATAATCGCATACGTGCACGGGCATTTCTAATCCGTACTTTGCATTTTGCAATTTAATGCATCAAACGCGACAAACATTGGCCCAGAGACGTAATTGCACACTTCGACGAAAATGAGAGACTGTAACGTGGTTTACACGCGGAACCGCTAAATTGATGATAACAGCAGGAAATCGCTCAAATACGAGGAGTGCGAAGAGACTGTAGCACATGTTTGCTGGAATTCTCTGAGCGGACGAGCGTGCTAGCGTCAGCCAATACGTGACTCAACTATCAAGGGCGCGGACTGCCTAGCAGTGGCTAGAGCTTGTGCTACTGTGCCAATCACTGAGCTCTACAAGTAGCCTAACGACTTGTCATGCGCTTGCAAAATCGTTTCAAAATGCCGCAAAGACTGCGTGTAAACGCATCTGATTCACATTGACCTCAAAAGGAAGTCCGTCTGTGAGTCGAGCGAAATGTGAGGACGTTTTGAGTAGAATCGATTTCGTCCGCTCCAGGCGTCGTCATTACTAGCAAATCGGTCGCCATCACGCGAAAGCCAGTATTGAACCGGTTATGTTGTGTGTCCACATCCAGATAAAGATCGGTGGATCTAAGTGGTATAGTCTTGGTACCACGTACTTTCGGTAATACCGCCTCTTATCGGGCAAGGAGAAGGGATCAGACGTCTGTTATAAGATCGCAATGTAGAATTTAGTCAGGCGAGGTTTTAGGGTTTTATACCGTGGTTAATGAATAAAAAAAGTTCAGCTCCCGTTTTGTACCGTTGGACGCTAGTGCCCAGTCAGGGCATAGCGTGTTGTAAGAGTGTTGGCCGTGTAAAGGCATTTACTCTTGTTTAACTGGTAGTGACTAGTTAGTGTGTGATTCTGTGAATCGTTGTCCCTTTGAAACCGGGATTGGTATGCTTGTACGCTTGAACGACTGTACGTCGTTGTTAGTTTATTAGAACTAAAAGACTCTCTGAGTCCAAGACTTCCTCTGTTAAGGAACGCTAAGTAGCTCCGCTACGCTTAGTAGCACTTGTAATCAATCTAGACCTGAGGCTTCACAGACTGAATCTTCTGCGAGGATGGAAACGGCCATGAACCTCTCTGAGGTCCAGCAGATCACGCTTGAGAAGCTCACGGCGTTGATCGAGCACGAGCAAGCGGATCTTATAGTGACGCAAGGCCCGGACGCACTTCGTGCACGTCTCGAGGCCTTCCCGAACTTTGAGCCCACGTTGATCAGACAGGTCCATGACCATTTGGCATCTGCCGTGCCCACTCTATACATCCTAATACCGGACACTGAGTCAAGGACTCGTCTTCTGGTTTTTTAGTATCAAGACTTTTAAGAAGAAAGAGGGAGAAATCTCCTTTTGTGGGTTTATGAGAGGAAGGTTTCCATCTGTTTGACCTTGCTGCGGTCAGAGCAGCAGAAGGTGGCCATGGCCCTATCGAAGTTAGGTGGGCGAGCCAGGGAGTGGGGGAGGCTTCACTTCTGGTACCTCTATATAATTGTCTTTTGCCACCTGGGATATGCTAAAAAAAACAGCTATCTCGGGTGTTTGACCCGCCTAATCAGGTATATCACGTGCGATCTCGCTTCTTGTCGATTCGCCAGGATCGACAAGAAGCGAGATCGCACGTGATGTCCCAGAGTTGAGAACTCTCGTTGCTACTATTCAGCTTGAACCTTTGACTGAGACGGTTTTGGTAACCATCTTCATGGAGGGTCTTTGCACTGGCGTTGCAAAAACAGAACTGTACTTACACAACTCTTGACATTTGAGGGTGCTGTGGACATAGCTTTGAACGGAGAGTTCAAACTTGAAAGCTTTCCGCTACAAAGCTGATGGTTTCCAATCAAACTCGTTGACCAATGCTCATTTATGGATCGGGCAGAGCCCATGGACCTTAGTCTCGCTGAGAGAGATGAAGAAGCTGAGCCTTGAGCTGTCGAACAGCGTTCGAACATTCTTAAATTGTACGTGCGGGAGCCTTAGACATCTTCGCCCCGATTGTCTTATGAGAAGGACCAGACAAGCTCATTTAGGCTGACATCCCGTCGCTGATCGGCCAGGTGGTAAGGAGCAGGAAATCGCCGATCCCAGTAGGCGCGAGGCGCCCTGCTGAGTAGGATTTAAGTTCTGTTGTACCTCTGGTAGGTGATGGAGAACAAGGCCTATCCCCAAGAGGCTTCGTGAGCAATGCCACGAATCATGAGAGAAAGCCAGGCTTGTTACTTGCAAAAGCAACGGTGAAGGTCTTTGATAAGCTACGGTCGATAAGCAACGGTGAAGGGCTTTGATAAGTCATATACGGTTGATCTATTCCGGTCGGGGCGTTGGGTAATTTTGTTAAACGTCGTTTCCTGAAGGATGGTCAGCAGTATGCTGAGGCGCTGAAGGCGCGGAATAATCAGACTATCACTATTCGCTTGGCGAAAAGTGCATTAGTAAATCAGCCTGAAGTTCCTGTGAGCTTAGGCGTGAAGTTTTCGGACTTTGACAGCTTTGAGCGCTGTCTAGTCCATGAATTGAATATGAGGTACGATCTCATCTTTGGTATAACTCGGCTAGAATGTCATGAGCCATGGATTGGTTGGAGGACAAAGACATTAGGCGCAACGCGCACTGTTCCTTGTGGAGCTTTGGAGAGTCATGAGCCCACTTCTGCAAGGAAGTAGATGCGATATTGGAGCGATCAACGGACTGAGACAGTCAGTGTGCTAAACATCGGTATGGCTGAACTCATTGAGTTGGACGATGTCAAAAGCATTAGTTTCGAGCCAAGATCGTTGACTGTTAGTGAGACAGCACGTAATTCGTCTAGTGATGATCATTGTAATAGCGAATCACTGAATGCTGAAAGCATTGTTGGCCTAGAGCCAAGTAATCATGAGTTAAACCCATCTGAGAAGCGTGGAGTGGCACGCAAGTACCTACTGAGTGATGTTGGTCATGATTGAGACACACTGAATGTCAGTCAATAACACCAAGTTATCAAGCGCGACGCCCCATCGATGAGCGTGAGTGGCACGAAAGTACTTACTGGGTGACGATCTCACTGGAAGTGACTTATCACCAAATGTCAGTAATGACATCGGATCTGATACAGATCAAATTAAGGTAGATGCAGTTCGTCGCCTTGGGTACAGTGTAGTCCCAGAAGTCGATCTGACATCGGCACTAATAACGGGCAAATTAAGGTCGATGCAGTTCGTCACATTGGGGGAAGTATAGTCCCGGGTGTCAGTAGTGATATCGGCTCTTGTAATGAGCAACTTATGGTTAGCGGTCATGTCAGGCTTGGGGACATTGAAGTCTTGGGTGTCGGTTTTGATACCGGCTCTTGTACAGAGCAAGTTCAGGATGATGATGCTATCAAATTCGGGAAACAGAAAGTTCCAGTCTATTTGAGACGTTCAGTCTCGTCACAGAGACGACAATGACGCCAGATTGCTGTTATGCAACGCAAGGCGTCTGTTAAGGCACTGAGTGATACTAGCGAGCAGCTTTATACACTCGTTAATGGATTGACTGGCGACGTAGATGGACCAGTGAGTCTTGAGACTCTACCCTCGCTAAATACTCTGTTAACGCTAGACAAATTGTCTGTAGATGAGTTTGGCCTGACCTTGAAGTCGGTTGACTTACCAAGAGTAGTGAATATCAGATCCGATAGTGAGTTGGACTCGTCGGCACTTCTTGACGAAGCTGTCGTGAAAGACACAAAGGCGGCACTGAGTGCACGAAGTAAGTCATCAATCTTAAAAGATCCTAAAGACATTTTTTATCCTTTATTGAAAGTATTTCAGGATGTGATGTGTCACGATCCACCTTCCACACTGCCTCCTTATAGGGGCGTATGTTATAAAAGGTACCGGTTCCATCGAAACCAACTACTGTGTGACACGGCAATGGCCCCAGCCAAAATGACAGCTTGACATCATTGACGAGTTCTTTCGTGCAAAGCACGCGGCTGGCATGGTGCGTCAGAGCAAGTCTCTGCACTCAACACTTACATTTTGTGTGAGAAAGCCAAATGGTAAGTGGCGCATTTTGCATGCTTACTATAAGCTCAATGCAGCAACTATACCTGTACAGACGCATGTTCCTGGAAAGGACGTTCTTCAGAACGCTACAGCAGGTTGTACCATGTTCATTGCACTCGACTTGGTCTATGAGTATACCATTTGCTCATGCAAGCGCGTGATATTCCACTTACATCATTTAGTAATTCAAGCGGTATGCTTTGGTAGTGGCTTGTCATGCCTCAAGTTGCGTCTAACGCCCCGGCTACATTTAATCGTCTTGTGACGCAATTATTCCAACCACACCGAGGATATGCACATAGCCATTTTGATGAATCTTTGTCCTTAGCCGTGAAGACCATAGTATTTCAGCTGATGAACAATCCCAATAACCATTTACGAGCAGTTTTCGAGTGCATGCGTACAAGCAAGCTGTATGCAAATGCATCGGTATGCATTTTGGTGCAAAAAAATCCCTTTCTCGGGTGCTTCATTGGGACAGCGTGGTCTTCAAGCAAATCCCGCTAAAGTTCAGTCAATTGTTGACTCACCAGATTCTTATAACCTAAAGGACTTGCAAAAATGGCTCGACCTTGCTATTAATTGCACAAGTACAGTGCAAATTACGCTGACATGGCAGGGCCATTGACTAACCTCTTCAGGATGGATGCAGTTTGGTGTTAGGACGCAGTCTGTGTTCAATCTTTTGGATCTATAAAGGACAGTCTCCCTGATGCTCTTCACTTGTGGCTTTGCCTGACCCTAGCGACCTTTCAGTGTCGTCTGTGACGCGTCCGATTTTGCCATTGGCAGTGTATTGTTGCAGACAGATGTCGAGGAACATGAACGCGTCATCTCGTATGAGTCGCGCCACCTGAAAGCTGTAGAGAAGAACTGTCTAGTCTAATACAAAGAGTTACTCGCAACGAAATATGCTCTGGTTAAGTTCATATTCCACCTACTTGGCTTAAAGCCTTTTGTGATCTTTAACGAGCATGCGTCGTTACGCACTGCGACACAGCCGCCTCACCTCTCACAGCGTATGACCCGTTGGCTTTCTTTCTTTGCTGGATACAAGCTCGAGGTGAAGTAGCCGGGAAAGTAAAACGCTTTCGCTGATGCGATGTCACGCATACTTTATAACTAGCTTGCTCATGTTACGACTATGTCGTCATCCTTTGTGGATTTAATTCGTGCGGCATATGCACGTGATGAGCAATGTGTGCATTACCACATGCTCTTGAAGGCGAGGAATTTCAAGACTCGGACATTAAATTGTCGGCACGTTTACATGCGAGACTACAGCGATATGTCATCGATGGTGGGTTGTTGTGCTATTGCACGGGTGCTGAGGATGTGGCTCGCATCGTTATTCCTCATAGTGAGGACTTAAAGCATCGTATTCTCTTTGAGTCACATGACACTGCTTTGAGCGGTCATGTCGGTCGTGAGAAGACCTATAGATCAGTTAGTCAGACATATAGGAGGCCCAAGTTGTACAAAGGGGCTAGCGCATATGTGCGTACATGTGAAACATGTCAACGCGTCAAACATGCGGTTGAATCGCTCGCTAGCTTGCCTGTTCCCACTGGGTGTTGGGAGTCCATCAGTATGGACTTTGTGTTTGTCCTACCGAAGGACTCGGACGGCAACACTGGTATTATGGTCTTTGTTGACCGTTTAAGCAAGATGGCTCATAGCGGCTGTGCCTGATTCCATAGGTGGAGAAGGTACAGCAAAGTTAAATATCAAACGTGTGTTTCGTCAACACGGTTTGCGCATGGCAATTGTCTCGGATCGTAATCCACGTTTCGCTGGCAACTTTTGAGCTTTTATCTTCTAGGTGCTGGGCATCAGGTTGGATATGTCCATATCGGATCATCCGCAGACCGATGGTCAAACTCAGCGCTTTAACCGTGTCATTGGTGCCGTTTTGCACAGTGTTTGTGCTGATACGCCAAGGCGTTGTAGCTCGATGATCCCGGTGGTCGAGTTTGCGTTAAACAACGCTGTTCATGCATCCACTAGCTTTTTCACTTTTACGTGAATGGTCTCACCCACCCACGCGTTCAGTTAAGGCTATAACCACGTGGTTCTGGGCTTGGTGGGGGAGGAATCACCGATCGGCTTGATGATGTCAGCCCAACTACTGTTCAGAAATAGGTGAGCAAATTTTTCGCTACGCGGTTGTATATCTTACGACATGTACGTGGAGCAATGGCTGATAGCCAGGGCCAACATAACCAACAAGCTGATGCCAAAGGCGTACAGTGTATTGATAGTTATGAAGTTGGGCATCGATCA